ATTTTTGGTCAGGTAGTTGGATTTTAATTCTAAAAATAAGAACCTAAAGGTTGAGTATTATAAGGTTGACAGATATACATAAGTGTTTCAGTCAAAGAAAGTGAAAGAAATCTTTCTGATCGTGTCTTTCAGGATTTTGCCGATTCCATTTATCAAATGGTTACACAGAAGTTCCAAGAGGTGACAGATAATTTCACGTCCATGCATGCACGCCACAAAACTCTTGCAGGAATTGTGATGACCAGAGGTAAGATGCCCTTTCATTTATTTTCCTGCACCATCTTTCATGACTAAGTAGGACATTATTTACCTGGTCCATGCTGAAAGATCCCTTTACTGCTACATAGAAAAATATATAGTAATGAAGATAAAAGAGGTATTAAATATTTAAGCTTCAAATGAAGTACACAAAAATTGTATTGACAATAGAAATACAGCTATTTTTATAAATATATGGTCCCTAGGTCTCTTTATTCACAGGAGGAAATGCAGATTGGCTGATTTATTTTTCCTGATAACGGTTCTTTGTTATTATCAGCGAGAAATATATTATTTATTTATTATTTTTATAGCCAGAGGCACTGAGTTTTGGTTCCAGAAGGTCACCAAATGTCTTACTTAGATTGACAAGTGAAAACAAATCTCAACCCATTTCTCTTCCACCCAAAGCAAATACAGAAGAACACTTCAGGCTTTATTTTTACTCTCATCTGAAGTCAGGAAATACTGACCTGCAAGGAAAAATTTAAATAATCAGGTAACACCTAACTAAAGGATAGTTTTTACTTGAGAACATATCATACACAAACATTCAGTGGGTGAAAAAAGGAAAATATTGAATAAATGGTGTTTCTCTTTTTGTTTATGTTGAAATTATCATCTCATTTCTGGTTGCCTTATGGTATTTATGAAACTGTCAACAGTGCAAATACTGCCATAAGCAGTATACTCACTCAGAAGCGTGAAATGGTGGATAGAGTTTAGAAGAGAAGAAATAACCTTTGGGAATAGAGGCATATATAATTCATCCAGGGTTTTCTAGCTGGCTCCTGCCAATAGTTAAATTATCCAGATTCATTAGGGACCGTTGTCCATACCGACAGCATCAGGAGAGAAATTGGATTATCTACTGGTCTCTTTCACATCTTGAAGACTAACTTAATGGAAAATGGGTGAGGAATCAGCCTCAGAATCAGAGAAATTAGAAATATAGAACTTGGCCTACAATTGCTTTTTACCTTTTGTCAATGCAGGATTGTTCCTTACAACACATTTTCTACTACTTTGGTAGTAGCTGTTTGTTGTTTGTTATGGGTATTACTGTTGTAACTGGGAGCCCCCGTCATGAATGAGGAACCCATTGTACTAAAACCTGTGCAGATAAAAGAACAGGAAGATCATCCCTATCCTAGGAAGCTTCCAATTTAAATATCAGAGATAGCAACAGTCAAAGAGAAACATGAAGGCAGTACTGGTCACTATGATCAGTCTTGGTGCATCACCTGCTTATCCATTGTCATTTGATTCTTTTAGGTAATTATGACATAGGAGAGTTTTGGAAATCTAGGAGGGTTTTGTAGCTCTTCAGAGATGCTCTCCCATAAGAGACACATGGGAGAAAGCATAAAAGGGATTGTTTGAAAAAAAGTGTCATTGCAGATGTCATAAGTAATGTGTTTTCAACTTCTCCTTTGGGAGATCATTTCATACCTGAATTGGTGTCATCAACAAGGACATTTCCTAAAGTTTAGTATGGTTTTCCTTTGTTTTTCTTATAATTCATACCAATACTCAAATAAACATTCTGCATCCTCAGGGCCCTTTTGATTGGCATTGAAAGGCATAGTAAAACCAAAAGTAGCATAAATACTTGGAGCAAAAGATGTAGATTTCCCCAAGAAATCTTAGCCCAAGAAATAGTGGAGAGCTCTGTGACAGGCCACTAGAGAGCAGCACAAATGGAGTATAAGTGGATGCTCGAAGACCATGACCATTCAGTCCATGTATAGTCTAGAAGTAGCAGTGGATGATGCTACCATGCAGTTGCTGGACATGCTCAGGCTGTGCAAGTACCTTTACTTTTTTATGGGGAGGTTTGAAGAATCCTTCCATTTCTTTCCATGGCCTTTAATATGAGAAACTGAGATTTTACTCATCTCTGTTTCATAGATTTTATAGTTTTCATAGACATTCGGGCTGGAAGGGACCCCAGAGGATCATCGAGTCCAGCCCCCTGCCCCAGGGGCAGAGAGTCAGCAGGGATCACAGGATCCCAGCAAGATAAGCATCCAAATGTGTCTTGAAGGCATTCAAAGTGGGTGCTTGAACCACCTCCGGCGGCAGTCTATTCCAAACCTTGAGGGCTCGGACAGTAAAGAAGTTCTTCCTTATGTCCAGCCTGAATCGGTCATGGCGGAGTTTGTGACCGTTCAATCTTGTCATCCCTTGGGGTGCTCTGGTGAACAAATGTTTCCCCAGATCCCGGTGAACACCTCTGATAAACTTATAGGTGGCCACCAGATAGCCCTTGAGCCTGCACTTTTCGAGGCTGAAGAGTCCCATGACTCTCAGCCTCTTATCATAAGGTCTGTTTTCCTGACCTCTGACCATGCGCGTGGCTTTCCTCTGCACTCTCTTAAGCTTCTCCACATCCTTTTTGAATTGTGAAGCCCAAAACTGGACGCAGTACTCCAGCTGTGGCCTCACCAAGGCCAAGTACAACAGGAGAATGACGTCCCGGGATTTGCTTGAGAAGCATCTATGGATGCAAGCCAGTGTTCTGCTCGCTTTACTAGCCACAGCATCACACTGAAGGCTCATGTTCATCTTGTGGTCAATCATGACCCCCAAGTCCCTTTCATCTGTAGTACTAGCCAGCATAGCACTGCCGAGCCTATACGCATGCTGCAGGTTTTTCCTCCCAAGGTGGAGAACCTTGCATTTTTCAGTGTTAAACACCATCAGGTTCTTATCCACCCATTTCATGAGCCTGTCAAGATCTGCCTGGATCACCCTCCTGTCCTCAGGTGTGGGTGCTTTAGAGTTTGGTGTCATCGGCGAACTTGGCCAGTCCATTTCTGACACCAATGTCTACATCACTGATGAAGATGTTACAAAGTATAGGCCCTAGGACAGAGCCTTGAGGGACCCCACTGGTCACAGGGCACCACGATGATTGACTTCCGTCAGCCACTACCCTCTGGATCCGACCACGGAGTCAATTCCCCAGCCAGCGAATCATGGTGAGGTAGAGGCCACAGTTAGCCAGTTTTGCCAAGAGGGGATCATGGGAAACCAGATCGAAGGCTTTTTTAAAGTCAAGATATATGACATCAATCTCTTCCCCCTTGTCCAGGTGATAGGTCACCTGGTCTTAAAAGGAAATGAGACTGGTCAAGCGATTTCATATTTCTCCTTAGTCTACACTAAGCCACAATATGAATATACCTATAGTTTATCCCCATAATTCAGTTCCTCCAGAGTCCTCATCATTTCAATTGCCGTTGTCTACATTACTCCAATATAAATTGACTTCAATTTGTTAACATCTTTCTAATCCTAAAATACTCAGAAACCAAACTCACTAGTATAGGTGTGATTGAGAGAAGATACTAAAATAGGAACTGCCTTATCTGGACATGTTTATCATAAAGATGTTGGTTTCTTCCGATATAGGCATGTCTGTCAAAGTATGGATAGGAAGGACCATTTGCCATTTGTGTCAGTACTTTCCATATTGTACGTAAAGATTTGTGGTCCATTCTAGAGTTAGAAAAGACTGGTGAACAGGTTTTAAAGACTATCACATCACATACATGAGTAAATGCAGATCTCTTATGTTATTAACATGGCATCTGGCTGATGCACTGGCAGATTATCACAAAGCTAAGCAAAAAAATAAATAAAAACAGCAATATAAATGGCTACATTACTGTCTTATTGAATTTCATGCTAGGTGCAACTAATGCACCCTCTCTTTCCTCTTGTTTCAATTTAATGTTGTACAGTGTGTAAATAGAACAATGCATATTTGTGTTGTTTTCAGACAAAACCTCTAAAAAATCACAATTTTTGATAATGAGATTTTTGATGTTCAGACAGTGTGGTGACTTTCCAAACAAAACAAAGTGTGGTAAATAGATTCTCCTTTTCTTGAATTCTGTCATTTTTTAATGTTTGCCTTTTCAGTTCCCAAGGAAAGGCAAAGTGAGTTGCATTTGGACATTTTGACTGACTTACGTTTTAAGACTCAAGGCAAATTCCAGCATGGCAGAAAGGAGAAAAAGAAAAAATGTAGAAGATAATGTTCCTGACTGTTTGCAAAATGTCAATGGCAATAAATTGCTGGACAGAAAACAGGAAATTCTGACCCCTTGTTTTAGTTTTTATTGTGAAATATGATAAACAGTTGAAATCTTGAAATATATTAATGGAACGGAAGTTTAAAGTATTTTTCATTTGGACGCATCAAGCTGGCCTTGTGAAACATTCTATTTGCATAATTTTGAAGTACTAAATATCATATCGTAGGACAGGGATTTTCAACCTTTTTGGATCAGTGTCCCCCCAGCAGCTGGATGTTGAGCAGTGTAGCCCTGGCAGCTGAACATGGAGTGGGCAGGGGGCAGGGGGAGAGCGCATGGCTGTGCAAGCTTCCCCCGCCCCCATGTCCAGCTGGGTGGGTGATACCTTCGTGGCAGTGCAGGATGGTGCATGGCAATGCTTTGTCCCCACCCACCCATGTGTACCCCCTAGGGCTTTCTCAAGTACCCCCAGGGGTATGCGTACCCCCAGTTGACAACCCCTGTCATAGGACATGGCAGAAATGATGGCAGAAATGTAACTATAAAATTGAGACAAAACATTTCAGTATTATCAAAATGAAACATTTGCACATTTTTAGGACCTACTGTTGGTGAGAGAGGCAAAATAAACTGGCAAAATGAGAAAGGCAAAATAAATTGCTTCCAATTTTTTTCTGTCAGAAATGTTTTTGATGTTTGCACATTAAATATTTTGTTTTGTTAAAATTAAATTAAATGGATTTGCTAATGGAGAATTGTACCATAAAAAATTGTTCAACCAGTTCTACTGATAATAACCACAGAGAGTTACAGAAACTAGAGATGAAAGAGAGCCTTAGTGTTAGTTCATCAATCCTTTTTCCCTGCAAGATATTCTTAAGTATATCAATAAGAATATTCATTAATGTAGCAGAGAATTACTGCAAGGGCTTGACCCCCATCT